GTTTTTTATTTTTTTGCGCTATTAAAAAAAACAAAACAAAAAAACTATTTTTGACTTTTTGCTATTAAACATGTCCAGTAAAAAAAGTCATCAAAAATTTAAGCCAAAATGTATTCTGCTACATTTCTTAGCTAAATAATCCTAATATGTGTAAATTAATTGGTTTACGTGAAAGTTATAGCGTTTACAAACAGCGGTGTATATATATATATATATATACTAGGCTTTTTTCGTTTTTTTTTTTTTTTTTCTTTACACTAGCAATGGCAGTGATAAGTGACTGTACACAGCCATCCAAAGCAGTCTACATGAGCCGACAGGGAGGAGAACTGATTTGTTTACAAACAGTTCTTCTCCTCTTCGGAGATCCGCGGCAATCACCGGGTGATAGCTACGGTCGTGAATGGTGGCGTGGGTAGGACGTACATGTGCCCTCTACCTGGAAATGCAAAATCATGTGTATATATACGTGATTTTCCGCACATGTGCCGCCCTGTAGCAGTATTTCTGCTATATGGCAGTTGGGAAGTGGTTAACACACAGTGAGGTTTATTTACTAAAGCTGGAGAGGTTCACTTCTGCAAAAAAACGAATCCGCTTCCAGGTTTTTATTGCCAAAGCTTAATTGAACAAGCTGAGGTTAGAAGCTGATTGGCTAACATGCATAGCTACACCAGATCCTGAGTAAACCAGCTTTAGTAAATCTCCCACTGTCTGCATTCAGGGCCACACATCCACATGCCTGTCACATTTGGGAGAGTGGCTGTGTCCAAACAGCCACTGCATCCCCATAAACTTAAATTGTTTTCTATGTTCCCTAGTGCTGAGCCTGTATTGACTTGCAAATGATGTGAACAAGCCCTTAGACCGCATATTTACTTCACTGTTTGAGTTGCGCACCCAACATCAGGCAGAAAAAATTGGGGGTAATAGAGGGAGGTTCTGATACACACAAGTAGTACATAAAAAAACAGGTCCTACACACTATGCAACTTTTGTGTTTTTGTTGTCATAATCTCACTACTGGATTGGTTAGAACTACAGATAACATGGCACACTCCTTTGAAAAAAAAGTTTTAAGTGCTTGTGAGCTACTATGGTAAATGACAATTGTGCTAAATAGATCAATTAATTAAATAAAATAAATGCACACTTGGTTCGCTGACACTCAACACCAACTCGTGAATAGTGCTTATAACTAAATCTATACTACAGAAATTGTGCCACGCTCCTGTGATTAATATTCAAAAACTAATCATGTGATCCATCATCGAAAAAAAAAATTATAATAAATTTATATATATATATATATATATATATATATATGTGTGAAAAAAAATATTGAGCTATCAGTGTATGATATATCATCAAAAGTAATCCAATTGATATCTGTGAACATTGTATATCTAAGACCACCACATTAAATAAAATCAATAAAAATATATATAAAGTGTCCTCTTTGTGTTCTTATCCTGAAAATCCAGCATCAATAAATGGATTGGGTGCAATTTTCCTATGCGCTCACCTCAATTTTAGCCTGATTATTAGGCTAAAATAGCTTTTTGTCCTACAAGAACAGATGAAAACATTTTCCTGCGCCAGAAATCCTTCTCAGATAATGGATGGAACGTTGTAATATTATTTATTATTATTATTCCACCTGGGGTCTCTCCAGTAAGCTGATCCCTGTGTTGGATATGGATGGATGGATGTCTCCCTTTCTCCTCCAAGGGTCTACTCCTTCCTTTTGTCTCCTCTCTCAAGTGCTCCATATTTATAGTATCAACAAAGAAGAGAAAACCTAGTGCCTTATCCTCTTTAGCCTTTTATTAGTTAAATTATACGTTATTCCACTCACATTTATTCAATATAAAACACGCTTTTTAGAATGGTAGAAAACCTCTGTGTGTGCAACACACTTCCTATACTCGCCGTTAGATCCAGACAGCGCCGTGATGTCAGTGCCCCTCCCCTACGCGTTGGGCAATTGGGTCACGTGGCCTCATCAGGTGAAGCCACGTGACCCGTGGTTCACGTTACCCTTTAAACTCTAACACTTCTAGCAGCCTGTGTTTGTAAAAGCAAGGTTTTTTGCTCATCTTCCCCCTTCCTTATTTCCTGTGAGTGTTATGGTTTGTAGCTGGTATTCTTATCTGTAGCTGCTGTCCAAGGTTATTCTGCAGAGTTTAGAAAGTCTTTTGAGTGTATAGAAAGTGAAAGAAGAAATGTATGCCTTGTGACGTAATCATTGGTATATACGCTTGTAGGAAGTTTTCTATTAATCACTTAGCAGATGAGAGCACAAGCCATCTGTTGAGTCAAAACAGCACTGTTTTTAATAAATCATTTGTATTCCTCAAGTCCATGTCTGGAGTTCTCTGGTTTGCCAAAATTGCTACTACAATAGCTTTTGAAAAAAGTGCAAAAAATGTTTTTAGGGCCGGTTTACAACGGGCATTTCTAACACAGCTGGTTTGTGGTAGGATGATAACAGTGCTGATGCACTGATTGTGGCACATCACACTATTCTACTTTTTTATTTTCTTTTTAAACAAACTTTGTTGAAATGTCACAGTAACATTTTGTTAAGTTCTTTTGGCCACAGCACTTTGCGAAACAGTGGATTGCGTCACACTTCGCTGATAAAGGTACTATAGCTGTACTCTCAGGCCAGTGGGGAGGCAAGCTGTTTTGCCTTGTTAGCTGTGCGACTGCATTGGAATGGCCACCCAACACAATCATACTGCACTTAGTGTGAATGTAAATATACAGTGCTCAGAGGTGAATGTAGCCTATACCCAAAAACAAAAATGTAATCTGTAGCAGGTTATTTCTCCTTTTAGATGTGGTGGCTGCAATTTTCAGACATTTCCCTTTATTTTCACCTTGTAATCCTGAGAATAACACACTTTGGGGTTTATTTACTAAAGCTGGTTCACTCAGAATTCTGTGCATTTCTGCATGGAAACCAATCGGATTACAGGTTTTATTGCTAAATCTTAATTGAACAAGCTAAGGTTAGAAGCTGATTGGCTACCATGCACAGGTTCTGAGTGAACTGATTTTAGTAAATGAACCCTTTTGTCTCTGTTGGCTATATGGTATGTATGGAAGGAGCCATGATCCTCACCCTGGCTGGACTTTAGGCCCTCATGAACACTTGACGTTTTAATAACACTGGTAACATTAGCTGTGTAAAGTCACGTTAAAAACTTGAGTTTTTCAGGGTTTTTAGCGATAATTTTTTTTTTTTTTTTTTTTTTTGCATTAGCGTTTAGCGGAAGTTTTCTGCATTTTTAGCATTTTTTGACCCCCCCCCCCCCCAAAAAAAAAAAGTCCAAAAATGCCAGTTTGCGGCGGATTATCGCTTTTTTTACAGCTAAAAAACTCCTCTAGAAACCCACTAGTTTTTTTTTGGGGGGGGGGGGGGGTGTTTCCAGCTAAAAAAATGTCCCAGCCAAAAAACGTTGATTACAGTCTGTGTGCATAGACATATAGGATAACATGCTGGGGGGTTTACTGGCTGTAGAAAAAAACGTCAAAAATAAAAAATAGCCGCTGTAAAAACATCCCGTGTGCATGAGCGCTTAACATGTCTGCAATCTCCATTACATGGTAGTTGATGGGATTCATAGTTTATACACAGGAAGATATGATTGTGTTTTCTGCTAACAGGAAGTGACCTAACTGTATTTCTGCCTGCCTCACCAGCAATTTTCTATAATTGCTGAAAATGTTCTCAACCTGAAAAAAGAAAACTAATGCAGTCACCTATTAGCTAAGGGTTGGTAAGCTGCAATCTGACTTTTTTTAAAATATGCTTTAAAAGTTAGTAGAATTCTATTTCTGAATTGGCTTCTGCTATCCCTTTTCCAAATGTCTCCAGCTTAAAGTGGAACTAATGGGAAATATTTTAAAAACAATATTTAATCCACAATGTAGTTATGTATACATCATCTAATTCTTCATCGTTTTCACATTCAGCTAGTATAAGTCCCCAAAGTTCTCTTGTGGTACGGCAGACTGGGAGAGGGAGGGACAGGGTAAACATACAAACACGGTGGGATCTACAGTATTTATAAATGTTTTTTTACCCTAGATTCACTCATTTTAAAATAGGATTCAATTAGAAAAAAATTAGAATCTTGAGTGAAAGTTTTGTGAAAAGATTTAAAAATAGACTGAAATGTATATGAAGTTAAAGCCAGATTCCAGAAAGGCAAGCATGCTACCCACTATACTGCGCTCTATTTGCTCTTCTGGTGCATGGAAAGGAAATGAAAATGTGGATGGGTTGTATTCATTGATTTCAGCAACTGCATAGTCTTAAATCTTATTCTGCTAGTCTTGGGTTTTTGTGTTCACTGCATCCCCTAAGAAAATATTTATGTTTGAAATATGGACTTTAAAATGTTACTAACCCCACAACAGTAAAATCGGTCTGTATATGCAGTAAAGCATGCTTGTTATACTCACTGTGGAACCTAAGGGGTAATCCTCCACATTGTGTGAAAAGGCTGTTTGAACCTGTCTTCTCTGATCCTCCCTTTCTTTCACAGTCCCCAATCCATCTTCTAATAGTACAGATCTCTAGGCGACACTCTGCACATGCTCAGTTTGGTGTGTATTGCTAGGGAGCAGCACTGTCCAGACAGATGGTCAAGGGCCATGCAGCCTCATAGGACAGTCAGAGAATGAAAACTTCTCCTACAAGCTTTAACCAGTACTCGGCCAAACACTGATAGAAGTCACAAGACTGCTATATAATGTGGATGAGGAAAGGTATTCAGCAGTTAATATTTACTAAAAAAAATAGCTTTTCTGTGTACTGTGGGAGATCAGAGATTGGTGAATTCAGGGTCTTCAGTTTAGTAACACTTTAATTAACCGCCTCCCGCCCGCCATATAGTAATATGACAGACGCAAGGTGGTTCTCTCGTTCTGGGAGGACGTAATATGATGTCCTCCCATTCTAACTGCGAATGCACGGCTCCCGGAGTGTGCAGCTGGGCGATCGGCTGTGCGCTGTGTCCCTCGGACACAGCAGATCACCGATCCACGGAAAGAGCCAAAGATGTCGGCTTGGTCATGTGATCAGCTGTGTCCAATCACAGCTGATCACATGTACACCGGGAAATGCTGGTTGTTGGCATTTCTCTCCCCACAAGCTGTCACGATGACAGCTCGTGAGGAGAGGAGAGCCGGTAATCGGCATTCCTCGGAGGGGACATGGGCACTGATGATCAGTGTGCCCTGATGATCTGTGTAGCCCCAGCAGCGCCACCTGTCAGTGTCCATCAGTAACTGCTCTCAGTGCTCATCCATGCCACCTGCCAGTGCCCTTCAGTGCCACATCATTGCCACATATCAGTGCCCATCTGAGCTGCCTCTCTGTGCCACCTTTCAGTGCCAGTCAGTGCCACTTATCAGTGTGCATCAGTGCAGTCTATCAGTGCCATATATGAGTGCTGCCTTTCAGTGCCCATCAGTGATGCCTGTCAATGCCCATCAGTGCAACCTATCAGTGCCCAACATTTTCTGTGGTTTTTGGTTTTAAGAAAAAATAAAAAACCCAGAGGTGATTTAAATACCACCAAAATAAAGCTCTATCTGTCACAAGAAAATGATAGAAATTTCATATGGGTACAGTGTTGCATGACCGCGCAATTGTCATTCAAAGTGCAACAGCGCTGAAAGCTGGAAATTGGCCTGGGCAGGAAGGGGGTATAAGTGCCCTGTAGGCAAGTGGTTAAAATTTGGTTTAGGAAACAGCACCTTAGTACCATAAGCAACGTTTACACTGGTGTTATTTCTTTGCCATTTGGTGATCAGTCATACTATTAGGTGTTCTAACACTTGAATAAACCTTATAAACTGTGTTTTTCCTTTTTTTTATTAGCATTTGGATGGTTCAATGGATTTTGCCTCAGCCTTTTACCAGCATTTGGGCAAGTATGTCCCCCGTATATATACAAGCTATGTGCAGCCACAAGTGGACAGGCAAGAAAAGCTGCCGCAGGACAGTATCTTCACCCCTATGGAATGGTACCTGTTTGGAGAGGACCCTAATGTCTTCATGGAGAAGCTGCGTCAGAACGAGGCACCTCCCCTGTGTGGTCAGTTATTTAGAGGGGGGGAGACCACTTATTCATGCAGGTAAACTCAGTCTATGAGTTGGCAGCATTTAAAATATAGTCCAGGAACACAACCACAAAGGTTGTCTACTCAAGCTAAATAGGTGCTGAGTAGGTGTATGCAGTGATTATTGCAAATTCATGTATTGCAGCCGATACCTAATTTTATGAAAATCGTATGTTTTTATGTTCATACTTGATAACCATTTAAGAAGTACCAAGCTGATTTTGTTTGTATGTATGTATGTATATATGTGCGTGTGTGTGTGTGTATATATATATGTATGTGTATATGTATGTGTGTGTATATATATATATATATATATATATATATATATATATATATATATATATATATATATATATATATATATATATATATATATATATATATATACACACACACACACGTGCGCAAACGTTTGCATATCTTGTCAGAAATTGTGAAATTTTGGCATTGATATTGACATTCTGACCAAGCCAAAAAAACTGTATTTTACTTAAGGATAGTGATCATATGAAGCCTTTTATTATCACATAGGTGTTTGGCTCCTTTTAAATCATGATGATAACAGAAATCACCCAAATGGCCCTGATTCATCTCCTGGAATATTTGACCTGGGTACGGGTACACACAAGGTGACACACACAGGTTAAAATGGCAATTAAAGATTAATTTCCCACATCTGTGGCTTTATAATTTCAGTTAGTGTCTGTGTATAAATACTCAATGCGTTTGTTAGCTCTCACGTGGACGCACTGAGCAGGGTATATAGGATGAAAAGGGTATGAAAGGGTATAAAAAAAAAGCTATCCAAAGCCTTGAATATGCCAGTCAGTACTGATCAATCCCTTATTAAGAAGTGGAAAATTTTGAGTATTTCTTGATTTATCAAGCCAAGGTCGGGTAGACAATGAAAAATTTCCGTCACAACTGCCAGAAGAATTGTTCAGGCTACAAAGAAAAACCTACCAGTAACCTCCAGGCTGCTCTGGAAAAAGATGTTGTGGTTGTTTCAAGAAGCACAATACGATGATACTTGAACAAAAATGAGCTGCTTGATTGAGTTGCCAAAAAGAAGCCTTTACTGCTCCAGTGCCACAAAAAAAGCCTGCTTAACGTATGCTGCAAACACCTTGACAAGCCTCACAGCTTTTGGCACACTGTAAGTTGGAGTGACAAAACTAAAATAGAGCTTTGTGGTCACAACCGTAAGTGCTATGTTTGGAGTGGGATCAACAAGGCTTATAGCCAAGAATACCATCCTCACTGTGAAGCATGGTTGAGACTCTCTGCTCTGGGGGGGGGGGGGGGGGGGGGGGGGCGCTTTAAAGACATGGAATCTTGTGAAAATTGATGGCAAGATGAGTGCAGCATGTTATCACAAAAAACTGGCAAAAACACAAAAAACATTTTTCCACCTTCTGCACAAAAGCTGCACATCGAAAGCTCTTGGACTTTCCAGAAAGACAATGACCTTAATTACAAGGCAAAATTGACCCTCAAGTGCTTACAGCAGAAAAAAGGTGAAGGTTCTGGAGTGGCCATCACACCTTCATTGATATGATGATTCATATCAGTCATTCAAGCCACTTTGGTAAGATCTCAAATGGTATGCGTTTCTTGGAACTGACCAAAGGCTTTGCATGACCTGGAGGCATTTTGCTAAGACGAATGGGGATCCTGCCAGAATTTGGGGCCTTATAGACAACTATTCCAAAAGACTGCACACTGTTATTGATTCTAAAGGGAGCAGTATTAGGAACTAAGGGTATGCAGACTTTTGAACAGGGGTCATTTAATTTTGTTTACTTGTTGCCATGTTTTGTTTTATGATTGTGCCATTCTAATATGACCTACAGCTGAATATGAATCCCATAGGAAATAAAAGAAATGTTTTTTGCTTGCTCACTCATGTTTTCTTTAAAAATGGTACATATTGTATATTACCAATTCTCCAAGGATATGCAAACTTTATATATTTATAATAATAATATATATAATATAATCTCCCATAAGGTTATCTGTTGCTCCTGCACAACGTGCTTAGAAAATGATTTCCAATTGTCTCTGTGAGCTACAGAAACACCACCCACCCCTTATATTATGGAGAGGGGAAGGTACTATGTAGTCCTAGCATACCTCTTTCCTTGGGTAAAGATTCTATAGATACAATACATTGAGTGAGCTTTGTCACCCAAGGGCAAGCAGTATGTTACTGGCAGGATCACAGATTATATTAAGGAAATTAAAACAAAACCTGAGATAAGAAAACTAATACAGCCATGACATCTAAGGATGGGAAGGTGCAATATATTACATTACTTGTGGATTGAATACATTTTAATGTTGTAGACATTTGTTTTTAACATTTTAAGGGAAACAACTTTTAAAGACCATTTAAAGCCAAAGGCGTAAGTTTGTGTTTTGAAAGACTGCCTTTATTGCAGGGATTGTGCAATAGATCCCACCTGTGTGCTGTGCATGAACTGCTTCCAGAACAGTATTCACAAGAATCATCGCTACAAGGTATGAATTTATGAAGAGTATGTGTATTATTATTTTTTATTTTTTTGTATTCTAGAATCATCATCCTCCAAAATGTTCTTTAAACCCGTAAGATGTAATATGTTAAAGTGAAATGTGAAATCACAGTGAATCTTGAAGTGTTTGAAATTCATAACATAAATCTCCCTAAAATCTTACAGATGCATTCTTCAATGGGAGGGGGGTTTTGCGACTGTGGTGACACAGAAGCCTGGAAAACGGGTCCATACTGCAAGATCCATGAGCCAGGGGCTTCAGATCAGGTAATACAAACCAATGATGTCAGATCATGTATTGTCCAATTCAAAGATAGACTGCATTCACACATGGCAATTTTGAATTGTGGCCAGAATTGCTGCGATTCTGTCCGCAATTCCAAATTGTACTGCAATTGTGACAAAATGCACTACGTGTTGGTGTATCTTTTCATTTTTATTGGCACCTCAAACTTGGCGCAATTTTGTTGTGTTGTGTGACAGAATCGCGGCCAAATGCATTGTGCAAAGCTGTCACCCAAAAAAAGCTCTTACTACTTTTTTTGCAACAAACTTTGCCCGATGCATTACGTCGCAATTGCAGCACGATTCTGTTGTGAGACAATCGCTGCAAAGCCTCACCTCATTTGAGGTGCCATTAGGAATGAATGGCACCCAAACATGTGCGGTACGTTTTGCCACGATTGCAGTGCGATTAGGAATTGCGGGCAGAATTGCAGTGGTTCTGTCTGCAATTTAAAATTACGAAGTGTGAATGCGGCCTAACCATTTTGTGTTCCATTGACAACTCAAATGTTAGGTCAACCCCTATTTTCTGTCTCGGTGATAGTGTTTGCCAGAACAAATTCTAGAGAGAGAATCTCTCAAATGGGGACACAGACAACAATAAAAACCTGACAGTGGTTCTAACATTTCCCTGCTATATCCAAAACCAGGAGTATACGCAGTGCCCTTAACAAAAAATATCAAGCTCCCAATAAAGACCGCCTCTTCCCCCCACAGTAGAGTTCTGTAGCCCCCCAACGCAGTGTCCTCTGCCCCCCTAAACATCACCCCCCCTTTCCACTGCAGTGTCCTCTGCCTCCTCATCCCCCAAAGGAGTGTCCTCTGTCCATTTCTCATCAGAACCCACCCACAGTGTTGTCCTCTGCACCCCACACAGACACACAATATATATATATATATATATATATATATATATATATATATATATATATATATATATATATATATATATATATATATATATACATACATACATACATACATACATACATACATACATACATACATACAGTGGGGATCGAAAGTTTGGGCACCCCAGCTAAAAATTTGTATTAATGTGCATAAAGAAGCCAAGGAAAGATGGAAAAATCTCCAAAAGGCATCAAATTACAGATTAGACATTCTTATAATATGTCAACAAAAGTTAGATTTTATTTCCATCATTTACACTTTCAAAATAACAGAAAACAAAAAAAATGGCGTCTGCAAAAGTTTGGGCACCCTGCAGAATTTATAGCATGCACTGCCCCTTTGCAAAGCTGAGACCTGCCCGTGTCATGGATTGTTCTCAATCATCATCTGGGAAGACCAGGTGATGTCAATCTCAAAGGTTTTAAATGCCCAGACTCATCTGACCTTGCCCCAACAATCGGCACCATGGGTTCTTCTAAGCAGTTGTCTAGAAAACTGAAACTGAAAATAGTTGACGCTCACAAAGCTGGAGAAGGCTATAAGAAGATAGCAAAGCGTTTTCAGATGTCAATATCCTCTGTTCGGAATGTAATTAAGAAATGGCAGTCATCAGGAACAGTGGAAGTTAAAGCAAGATCTGGAAGACCAAGAAAAATATCAGACAGAACAGCTCGCAGGATTGTGAGAAAAACAATTCAAAACCCACATTTGACTGCACGATCCCTCCAGAAAGATCTGGCAGACACTGGAGTTGTGGTACACTATTCCACTATAAAGAGATACTTGTACAAATATGGTCTTCATGGAAGAGTCATCAGAAGAAAATCTCTTCTACGTCCTCACCACAAAAATCATCGTTTGAACTTTGCAAATGAACATATAGACAAGCCTGATGCATTTTGGAAACAAGTTCTGTGGACCGATGAGGTTAAAATTGAACTTTTTGGCCGGATGAGCAAAGGTACGTTTGGAGAAGAAGGGGCACAGAATTGAATGAAAAGAACCTCTGTCCAACTGTTAAGCATGGGGTTGGATCAATCATGCTTTGGGGTTGTGTTGCAGCCAGTGGCACAGGGAACATCTCACGAGTAGAAGGAAAAATGGATTCAATAAAATTTCAGCAAATTTTGGATGGTAACTTGATGCCATCTGTGAAAAAGCTGAAGTTAAAGAGAGGATGGCTTCTACAAATGGATAATGATTCTAAACACACCTCAAAATCCACGGGGGAATACATCAAGAGGCGTAAACTGAAGGTTTTGCCATGGCCTTCATAATCTCCTGACCTCAACATAATTGAAAATCTATGGATAGACCTTAAAAGAGCAGTGCGTGACAGACAGCCCAGAAATGTCAAAGAACTGGAAGACTTTTGTAAGGAAGAATGGGCAAAGATACCTCAAACAAGAATTGAAAGACTCTTGTCTGGCTACAAAAAGCGTTTACAAGCTGTGATACTTGCCAAAGGGGGCAGTACAAGATATTAACTCTGCAGGGTGCCCAAACTTTTGCAGACGCCATTTTTTTGTTTTCTGTTATTTTGAAAGTGTAAATGATGGAAATAAAATCTAACTTTTGTTGACATATTATAAGAATGTCTAATCTGTAATTTGATGCCTTTTGGAGATTTTTCCATCTTTCCTTGGCTTCTTTATGCACATTAATACAAATTTTTAGCTGGGGTGCCCAAACTTTCGATCCCCACTGTATATACATACACATATACATACTCGGTGGACGCTGAGCCATAGTCACGATCCACCTGTTGGCTCCCCGCAGTCAACCGGACTTGCCAACCCCTGTATTAGAACATCTGTCAGCCTTTAAACTCTTCCATACAGGCCACTTTTACCCCCTTCCTGCCCAGGCCAATTTTCAGGTTTCAGCGCTCTCACACTTTGAATGACAATTGTGCGGTCATACAACATTGTACCCAAACTAAAATTTTATCATTTTCTTCTCACAACTAGAGCTTTCTTTTGGTGGTATTTAATCAACACTGGGGTTTTTATTTTTTGCTAAATTAACAAAAAAAAAGACCGAAAAGTTTGAAAAAAAACACGTTTTTCTTTGTTTCTGTTATAAAAGTTTGCAAATAAATAATTGTTCTTCATAAATTTAGGCCAAGATGTATTCTGCTACATGTCTTTGGTGAAAATAACCCAAATTAGGATGTATTTTTTAGTTTGTAGGAAAGTTATAGAGTTCACAAACTATGGGATATATCTGAATATTGATCAATCCTGAAGTACTGACAGCCAATCTAATTTCTTGAGGTCCAATAATGTCAGAACAGTACAGATATCCCCCAAATGACCCCTTTTTGCAGACTAGATAGTCCTACGTACTTCATAAGAGGAATGGCAAGTTTTTTGAAGTTGTATTTTTTTGTCATAATTGTTCGGAAAATGAAAAAATTAAAAAAATTATTTTCACAATTTTTTTTTTTACATACTGTCACCAGTGCAGTACAGCGTCATCATATAACTGGCATGGCGGTAATCAGGGACACTGACTGGTGACATAATGAAAAAAAAAATATATTTTTTTAAAATTATTTTAAATTTTTTATTACTTTTTTTTTTTTTTTTTTCATATTTCACAATGACCAAAGTAGTACAATGTTACCATAGTAACATTGTACTACTTTGGGGAAGTGATCAGTATTTTATTTTTTTTACACAATTTGCTTATAGCAAAGAATTACCGGCAACTGGGTCGGTACTCAGATCTGTCATCGGCCGTGTCTGAGGTGCAGAAACTGCGCATGCCCAAAAGGACGCCATATGGCATCCACCCGGAAAGGTGAGGGTTTTTGCTGGCCTCCATTCGGCCATAGGCCGGGCAGGAAGAGGTTAATTGCTGTGAGGGTCTCAGTAAAAAAAATTTCTGTCATATTCTAAATGAGGTTTATGAAGAAAGAGGGGAAAACTCCACATGAGATCACATTGTTTGTTTGACACCAGTCACTTGTCCCTGATGGGGACACAGGAAGCACTTAAATTCTAATGTAATTTCACTTCTATGGATGTGATGCATTTAACCCATGCAACAATTTTTATTCCATATCCCAGGCTTGTGTTTCAACCTAAACATTACACACACCACTGGAGTCTTTTTCTGAAAACAGCAACTCGCTTTGTAGTCTTTCCTTATATTTGTGTAGGAGAGCGAATACTTTGTCTTCCATATACTATCTGTCCTCTGATTCCTTAATCTCTGTCTGTCTTATGGTCTTGCTATCTTTCCCCGTGATCTTTTCTTCCTATTGAAGCTTAATATGTTTGTCCTATGACCTTTTCTTGTTGTCCACTATTATAATTACCCTATATAGTCCCTTTTCCCTTCTATGAAGTGCTTGTTCTCCCAAAACTACCCATTCTGGACAGTTGGGGCAAATCAATATAAATTTGATAAGCTTAACTCTTCCCCACTCTCCAAAATGATTTTTTTTTTTTTGTCTGTAGTTGGGCTTTGCAAAAACACTGACACCTTGGTCATGTAGAACAAAGTACCAGTGTATTGACCGAGGGCCCTCGGACCCCTTACATTACCCTTCCCAGTCCTCCCCCCATTGCCTTTTTTTCCCTCCACAGCTGGTACTAAACAGGTGTCAGTGACCTGGTGGAGTGGTGACTTTATTCTCTAGGTCATGCGCTCAGACATAGTGGTTGGCTTGTTTGGCTGCAGCGGTGGAGGTTGCATGCTCCTCCAGGTACGCAGAAGTGACGTGTATTGTTGCTGGCTGCAGGGGAGTGATGAGGAAGAGGGGGTGGGGTGCTGCCAAAGTGAGTATAACTGGGTCAAAACGGGTCTTTTGAGATATTGTCATTCTACCCTGCACAGGAAAGGTGAAAGTTTCATTTTAAGGCGTTTATGATTTCATCAAAATGGAATAGAAACCTCTTGCTGGAGGACTTATTTTGATCAGTTAGGGTCACCTGTCTACTGTTTAGTTGTCATAATGTCATACAGTCTACCCCATAGATTGATTCTACTACAAAAAGGACTTTCCACTTTCCTTTGGAACATGGAAAGCTTCTTTTAGGAGGCATTCTGATGTTACAGTATTAGAAAAAAGGGGTAATGTAGGCAACATAACCACATGGCTTTCCTTGTGGAACAGGCATAGATAGACCTGTGTACCCCAAGAAATGCCACCATTGATTCTTTCGTTTGACCCACACAGGGTTTTTTTTTGGTTTACTATGAAGAAATTATATGTTAATTTTACGGTATCCCTTAAATCATTCAATACAATAAGGCTATAAATAGCATAAAGATATACTTTCTCCCAAAAAATTTAAAAAAACTGTGAATATGCTAATACTAATATTCCCAAAAGTATATATCACACAAATATATTTAAAAAAAAAAGTCCTAAAAAAGAATAGGAAGTTCAATTAAAATAAATATAATATTATAAAAAGTCACTCTGTGCCAACTTCAATCATCAATCTTCTTATTCAGCCTTTAAGTGGCTCACAAAGAAACCTGTGAAACAGTGTGTTCACATCTATGGTGTAAGGAGTGAATACCCTTACCAAAAATATGTAAATAATATGCCTTTACACCTCCCGGCGAGGGTATTAACACAAATTCTGCTTCAACCCAAGGATCATCACCACCTCATGGATCAGATCAAGATGTCATCCAGATATAGCAGCTTTCAAGTATGATCAACAATCTCTACCAATCCACCGATGCCCACCATATATAGAATAAATCATAGTGTAAACCCGCATATACAATTTAAAATACTTTACTGAATATGCTTACATCATGATTCCTCTTTAAAAAAGCCTTTATCAGAATATCCAAACCTCTCAGAGTTCCCTGGTTCCTCCACATGAACTTCTATGAGGTTTTGCCAGATTCTAAAATGGCCGCTGGATCACTTCCGTTTCCTCTGTGTGTCTGAGATCACTTCTCTTGACATGTTTCATCACCTGACTTAATCATAAGGGATGAAAATGCCTTTTAGCTCAGGTTTGGTATCTGTATTCATATCAGTAAACCATTGGTTGGATTAGTTTGGCAGTAATACGTGTGATTACACAATAAAATTTGTTTTTTGTTACTTTTCAGGATTCTGGATTTCGATTGCCAGAAGAGGTTCTAATCCAGACCAGAAAAGTGTTCCCTGTCATCATCCAATACATTGTGGACATGCTTATCTGGGAGGAGGAAAAATGTCTGCCTGGGTATTTAAATACAGGGTATGACTAGACTAAATGACTTGCCACATTGCAGGGAATTATGATCTAAACACCACAGGTTTCTTCTGTGAAAATTGAACGGGGTAACTGAGGTGTTGTTTAAACATGAGAACAAAAAGTGATGTTCATTTTAGCTGTTGTAGTACTATACCAGTGTAGCCTTTATTAATTGTAACCTCATTCAGTTTAAGTTTCTGAAGCTGGCTGAGGGCTATAAGGAAGGAGTGAATGTGCACTTCTGTTTGACATGCATACATTTTATGTGCTCTAACATACCACATTTTCCTTCAGCCAGAAAAAGTCAAAGCAGCATTGCTGTTTGCTCTACAATGATGATGATCACCACACCAATGACCACTTCACCTACAGTATACAGAGATCTCTAGGATGTGATATGAAAGAATCACAGACAATAACAAGTGCGGCAGAAAGGGAGGTCAGTATTCTTATTTACTCTTTTTAATTCTACTATAAACCTATTTTTGAAGCACAGCCAGGCTCATATGTAGTCTTCAGTGAATATCAGAGAACCAAACCACTACTTTATTACATGATATGTAAGCAAACGTGAATGTTTAGTGTATTTTTGGTGATTTGCACTGTACAGTTACTTATATTCCCCTAGACCTCCTGACGGACTTATACTCACCTGTCCCCAATCCAGCAAATTTTCACAGATGAGGTCACTCACTGACTTGTCAAATTATTCCTGGTCAATGGCATATGCTATCTGAAATCATAATAATTCCTATGGAAAGCTCCAGTGTATGAGCTTGTACTCCACACCAACTGTCCTTAGGAATGAATGTAACTGTGAGCACACTGGATCTGGGAAAGTTGGGGGTTGATTTACTAAAACTGGAACGTGCAAAACCTAGTGCAGCTTTGCATGGAAATAAATCGGCTTCCAGGTTTGTTTTTTGTTTTTGATTTTTTTTGTTTTTTTTTTTTAAAAAGCTTAAACTGTTACTAAATTTACAACCATAATATTAGTGTGTATATGCACTAAACTATGCTTGTTGCACTCACTGTGGAACCTGAGAGGTTAATCCACCACAAAGACTGTTTAATCTTGTCATCTTTGATCCTCCCTTCTTCTGTCCCCAGTCCATCTGCTGATTAGTACAGAGCTCTAGGAGCACATGTTCAGTTTAGTGTGTATGGTTAGAGAGGTTTTTTTTTTTCTTTGGGAGGGTGTGTCTGATCAGCACTGTCCAGACGGGGGTGAGGGGTTATGCAGCCTCTTAGGACAGTCAGAGCAGAGTGAAGATGACTCCTACAAGTTTTAACCAATGCTCAGCTGGACACTGATGTCACACAAATTAAATAGCTATGGTAACTGAGAATTTCTTGTGATTTCTATAACTAAAACAGAAAAGGGCACAAAACGAGGCTTCATGGTTTAATAAAGGTTTGCAGATGTCTTGTTTTAATATTGGTCTTAAAGTTGAAATTGGAGCACAGGTTTAGTTAACCAGAATGGTTCGAAAATTATACTGTACATTTTCAGAATTTTCTAGTAAGAATTGACAGAGTTAAAGTGGTTCTAAAGGCAGAATTTTTTTCACTTTAATGCATTCTGGGTGCAGCTCCTCCCTCAGCCCCCCCCCTCTCCTAATTGGCTCACGCAGCAGCTGGAGTCATTGGCTCCTGCTGCTGTCAGTCATAGCCAGTGAGCCAATGAGGAGTGGGGGGGGGGGGGGCGAGGCTGATCCATGATCTGTGTGTGAATGGACAATGTCCATTCACAGGAGTGCGGCTTGAGAGTACCCATAGCAAGAGGCTTGCTATTGGAGCCCTTGGCTGGTGGGAGGAGTCAGAACAGCCGGCAGAGGACCCAAAAAGAAAGATCTGGGCAACTGTGTGCAAAACTATTGCACAGAGCATGTACGTACATCGTGTGTGTGTGTGTGTGTGTGTGTGTGTATGTGTAGAAGTGAGTACACCCCTCATATTTTTGTAAATATTTTATATCTTTTCATGTGACAACACTGGAGAAATGAGACTTTGCTACAATGTAAAGTAGTGAGTGTACATCTTGTATAACAGTGTACATTTGCTGTCCCCTCAAAACAACTCAACACATAGCCATTAATGTCTAAACAGCTGGCACCAAAAGTGAGTACACCCCTAAGTGAAAATGTCCAAATTGGGCCCAAAGTGTGGGCCCTCAATGACCTGTAGCTCCCCAGTGCTGGAAGCACTCATGCAGCCCAGACCATGACACTTCCACTACCATACTTGACTGTAGGCAAGACACACTTGTACTTCTCACCTGGTTTCCGCCACAAGCTTGACACCATCTGAACCAAATCAGTTTATCTTGGTGTCATCAGACCACAAGACATGGTTCCAGGATTCCATGTCCTTAGTCTGCTTGTCATCAGCAAACTTTGTGGGCTTTCTTGTGCATCATCTTTAGAAGAGGCTTCCTTCTGGGACGACAGCCATGCACACCAATTTGGTGCAGTGTGCGGCGTATAGTCTGAGCACTGGCAGGCTGACCCCCCCCCCACCCCTTCAACCTCTGCAGCAATGCTGGCAGCACTCATACGTCTATTTCCCATCAACAACCACTGGATATGACGCTGAGCATGTGCATTCAACTCCTTTGGTTGACCATGGCGATGCCTGTTCTGAGTGGAACCTGTCCTGTTAAACCGCTGTATGGTCTTGGCCACCGTGCTGCAGCTCAGTTTCAGTGTCTTGGCAATCTTGTTATAGCCTAGGCCATCTTTATGTAGAGCAACAATTCTTTTTTTTTTTTTTTTTTTTTTTTTTTCCTTCCAGATCCTCAGTTCATTGCCATGATGTGACATGTTGAACGTCCAGTGACCAGTATGAGAGAGTGAGAGCGATAACACCAAATTTAACACACCTGCTCCCCATTCACACCTTGTAACACTAAGGAGTCACATGACACCGGGGAGGAAAAATGGCTATTTGGCCCAATTTGGAGATTTTCACTTAGGGGTGTACTCACTTTTGTTGCCATCGGTTTAGACATTAATGGCTGTGTACATGAATAATATAAATAGAGAGGCGCTACATATAAATTGAAAAATGTGCATATATTTATAAGAGGCTTGTATTACAACATGCCCCTAAATCAAACTATAAGATTATATTACACCTAAAAGTGGGTGCTATATTCCCATTGCCTTTACAAAGAACATCAAAAACAAAAAACCACAAAACCAATAAAGGTCCGCAAGTAAATTTAAATTTTGGAAAAAGGTAACTGTGCTTTCAATTTCTTTACGCTGTAACCTAGCCGGCAGGGAATGTAAAAAAATTGCTCACTCACCAAACCTTTTGACCCCAGTGAAGCTGGTCAGATGCACTTTTTGGTCATATAGGAGACCATCCTCTCAGAAAGTTACTTTCCTCCAGCAGCTCCGTTTATGGCCATAAACTAAGGTATAGGAACTCCCAACATGGGGTTCGATATGGGCTAATCCTTATAGAGATTTGGTGCCAGACCGCAGCCAGCCTGTGAAACAACCAATGTGACCCTGTCTAACAGTTTGCGTTTAAAAACAAAGGGTTTTGTTTGCACACATTTGCATATACATGCGTAAGCCACAGTCCTGCATCTAGGGCAGCAATGGGCAAACTACGGCCCGGCGGACCTTTTAATCCGGCCCGGGGAGAACGTGAGGGGAGCTAGGCTCCTCTCACAGTCCGCCCTGGAGACCGGTGTAGCATGAAAATCTGTCTCCTATGAGGATCTGTCCCCCTCGACGTATCTGCGCATGTGCCGGAGATCGCCGATTGGCTGCTAATGCCTGAAACTGGCACATGCGCAGATACGTCGAGGGGGACAGATCCTCATAGGAGACAGATTTTCATGCTACACCGGAACGGCGCGGGAACACGGCGAGAGGAACGCGCGGAGCAAAGGTAAGTGAATTGACACAGGGGGGACTTGGGGACTTAATATGGGGGATGAATTACTATGGGGAATGAACTACTATAGGGGGGATGAATTACTATAGGGGGGATGAATTACTATGGGGGATGAATTACTATATGGGGGATGAATTACTATATGGGGGATGAATTACTATATGGGGGATGAATTACTATATGGGGGATGAATTACTATATGGGGGATGAATTACTATATGGGGGATTAATTACTATGGGGGATGAATTACTATATGGGGGATGAATTACTATATGGGGGATTAATTACTATGCTTACTATGGGGGAATATTACTATACTTACTATGGATGACACATACACATCATTCATCTACTCTTGGTCCGGCCCCCGGGTCCAATATATGAACCCATTGCGGCCCTCAAGTCAAAAAGTTTGCTCACCCCTGATCTAGGTCTTTGTATACTATGAACCTAACTAAAGTTTCCAAAAGTTAAAATTAATGGCTGTGTGTTGAGTTATTTTGAGGGGACAGCAAAATTTACACTGTTATACAAGCTGTACACTCACTACTTTACATTGTAGCAAAGTCTCATTTCTTCAGTGTTGTCACATGAAAAGATGTAAGACATTTAAAAAAATGTGAGGGGTGTACTCACTTCTGTGAGATACTGTGTGGGTGTGTGTATTATTATGTGTGTATGTGTATGTGTGTATATATATATATATGTGTGTGTATATATATGTGTGTGTGTGTGTGTGTGTGTGTGTGTGTGTGTGTGTGTGTATATGTGTGTGTGTGTGTGTGTGTGTGTATATGTGTGTGTGTGTGTATGTATGTGTATATATATATTTTATTTTAAATCATTTTAAGTATCTGTATTGGGTCAATATTGATGGAGCGCTATCTACTGTTTCCTATTCAGGGTCGTACAATTGTGAAAGAAGGAGGTTTAGAAGTGTGCAAAGAGACTGCAGATAATCTTAAGGTAAAACAAAAAACTTTTTTTTTTTCTTTTTTAGCACTATCGCTGTCCGTATTTACCATGTAAGCAAGTTACAAGGAAGATAGGTCGGACTCGCATGTTCATTCAGAGCATCACAGCTGTGGGCTGCTCTGTGTTCAGTTTCCCGCCCACACATCCTCTGAAGCTGTGCGGGACTGGAGTGTGGGCGGTGCAAGGGGAGACAGAGCAGATCTACCCTCTCTCTCTCCTTCTCATCCTTCAATGAAGCCTCTGAAAGCTGCAGAAGGGAGAGGAGGAGAATCTGCTTCCAGCTACTTAATTAAAAGCCATACAGGAGATCGCTGCTTGTCACCGCTTCTTTCCTGGCCCCGCCAGCCCCTCCCCCTATCCACCGCACCAATAGGAGACTGGGCAGTGAGGAGCACACGGAGGGGGGCAGGAAAGAAATGGAACGATCAGGTGTGATCTGTGCAGCGGTGACAAGCAGCAATCTCCTGTATGGCTTTCAGTGAAGCAGCTGGGAGACACCTCTCCTGCTCTCCCTCCCGCATCTTTCAGCTGCTTCATTGAAAGCCATACAGGAGATCGCTGCTTGTCACCGCTCCCCACCACTTCCCCTCCCACACACCCCTAATCCCGGCGCTGCTCGCCCCCACCTTATTTCCACTCGCCCAATGTGAGTGGGTGAGTGGAAATTTTGAGGGCTGTATCACATTTTTAAATTTTTTTCTTGGGTTTAAATGCACTTAAGCTCTATCCAGTGAAACCTGGGGCACATCCATGGTTGACAGATTGATATTACCTTTCCTATGTCATGATTTTCTTTTAGAAACACTCAGAAAACGTGTCTCAGCGACCTCTGCATGTTGAAGTGCTGAATTCTCTGGTCATGGCACATCAGACCTTTGCGTGCAGTCTTGGGACATGGTTGAACAAACTTTTGGCATACTCAAGCAAGTATTATTGTATAGTTTCTTAATTTTGGTCTTCTTAGTTTTTTTTAATTTATAGTTCTGAACCTTGCCTTAAATTTTTCTTTTTTTAATATATTATTTAAAAAGAGTCAGATTTCTAAGATTCACTAAGAATAAAAACGGTGAGACATCTGCCAGTCCCAAATTAAAGTGGAACTCTGAAGAAATATCTAAATCTAGAATAAATACTTTAATGGCAGCTGTTTTTACCCGGCAAAGGATTTGCATTTCAATTTATTCAATCCTGAGATTTACACCGTCAAGCACAGCAGATGCCACCACTTTCTCTGTTTTGAGTTAAAAAGCACACTTGAACCTCCCTGCTCCCAGGCTTGCTTATTGGCACAGGAAAAGAGCAGCAGGAGTGAGATGAAGTCACACTGTTCTTACTCTGCTCACTCCTTCTGCCAGCTTTTTTAGAAAGATTTTTCAGCATTGCCACACCTTGGCATGGTCCTACTGTAACAAGTGATGCATGAATTGGTGTCACTACTTGTTATTATCAGGCAGATGTGTGGGCAGATGAAAGGCTTCACAGTGTGTGATATTCACAAGCAAGTGCTTACAGGAACTGCATTGTTTATTGAACCCAGCATAAAGGTTTTCTGACAAATATGTTGGCATGTGTTTATGCTGAGCACTATATATGTAATCAGTCACAGCCATTATATTTACAGATGATCAGTGCTCAGCATAAACACATGCCAACATATTTGTCAGAAAACCTTTACTTTCCTTTCAGAATCAACATTTTCTATGGGACACTATACTACAAAATACTCCCACAAATGTGGGCCATTGATTGCAAACAAGATTTGTTAATTTACACATACTAAAAAGTATTTTTTCTAACAAATTCATTCAAGACCATGTTGCAAAAATGAATACACCCCAGTGAAAGTCTTAGGAGCAAAGCTAAATTTTAGCCAACAAAATCCTAATTAACCAGAATTCAGCTACAGGTGAGTCTAATTATTCATTAAACAGGTGTCTAGCAGACAGTTGAATATAAAACTCTTCCCATTTCATGCTGTCGGCAATGGCACCACATGGAAGAGAAATGTCGCAAGGCCTGAGAAAGAAAATTTCTTTACACAAGAAAGGCGAAGGCTACAAGAAGATCAGCAAAGCTTTACTTATCAGTCAGAATTCTGTAGCAAAAGTGATATAAAACATTTAACAAAGATGGAACTCAGAGACATCCAGGCCATCCACGGAAGTTAACGCCTCAACAGGAGCGTCTTCTGCTGAGAAGAGTTGAAGAGAATCGCCATGCAAGTTCACTGCAATTGGCTAAAGAAGTTGAAAGCCAAACTGGGGTGATTGTTTCCCATGACACAAATACAGCGTAAACTGCAGAGGAATGGCATGCATGGGTGTTGTCCACGTAGGAAGCCCATGCACAAAAAAGCCCACCTAGAATTTCCAGGGCTCATGCTGAAAAAGACTGCTGGGACTCTGTACTCTGGAGTGATGAGACCAAGATAAATGTTTTTGGAACTGATGGCTGCAAAACTGTATGGCGTCTCAAAGCTGAGAAGTACTAAGAAATATGCATGGTGCCTACATGGTGGTGGCAGTGTCCTTCAGCGGGGCTGCATGAGTGTTGCTGGTGTCGGGGAGCTGCATTTCATTGATGGTATCATGAATTCACAGATTTACTGCTGTATATTGAAAGAGAGGATGCTACCCTTGGTCATCATGCACTTTTCCAACTTGACCATGATAAAAAAAATACACATCTAGGGCCACTGTCACTTTTCTGAAGAACAGGGGGAAGGGGATTCAGTGGCCAAGTATGTCTCCTGATCTGAACCCAATCAAACACCTATGGGGAATTCTAAAAAAACAAGTTGAGCATCACTCCTCCATAAAGCATCGAGGCTCTAAAAAGAAGTCGTTCTTGAAGAATGAAATAGATGTTGCAATATGTCATCAACTTGTTCATTCCATGCCTAGAAGACTTGGTGCTGTCCTTACAAATCATGGAGGTAATACAAAATACTAGATGGAGTAGTTTTTGTTGTGGGGGGTGTATTCATTTTTACATGAACTAATTTGAGCAAAACTGAAGATTATATCAATAACCTTACTTTCATGCAATGAGCTAAACAAATGTCCTATAAAACTCAGTTTTGTCATAATTTTGGAAATTGTTCTTGTGTTCATTGAGATATTGATTAAAAGCTTACTTTTCAAAAGGGGTCTTTATGCTGAGCACTGTATAAGGTTTGTAATGATTTTTACCCTTTTTATGTGTAATTTTTCACTTTTCTTTCACAGGTGACTTCCGACAGATCTTTTGTCACATGTGTCTGGAACCAATCAGAACAATCAGAGCAAGGGAATTGTGCTATGTCAGCTTATTAATTAAGTGTGATGCCAAACTTCATAAAGGTGCATTTTCATGTTAAAATGTATTTCCAGCCTCAATAGAATATTCTACCTAATAAAAAATGTTTGTTTGGTGTTATAATTTATATTGAGCTTCTTATTTTGCATATTCTGTGAAAGAAAGTCAATGCATAGGCCAGTTTAATGTTTGTCTTATATCTGTCTAATGTGTCACTTCATTTATGTGGACACTGAACAGAAATTATTTTGTAGGTTTCAAGAAAGTGCTGCATGATCTGATCTTCAGCAGCTTCTTTATGGAGATGGAATATAAGAAGCTGTTTGCCATTGAGTTTGTGAAGGTAACTGAATTCATTTCTCTCATGTGTAGAACTGCATGTGTTAAACAGACTGTGTCACCAACTTATAAAATTGAAGGTTGATACACAGAAAAAACAATTTTTTTTTGGGCCCTGTTCACACCATGTGCAGAGATGTCCATTTTTCTGCACGTGTTCTGCAAGGGTGCAAAGAAAATTGTTCTCTATGTACCCTGTTCACGCCACAACACTGTCAGGTGCCGAGTTTTCTTTTTTTCTCTTTTCTGCCATGAATCTGCAATGTGTGTGCAGCTTTTTGCGCAGGGAAAAAACTGATGTGACATCAACATTGTGGTGTCAACAGGGCAGAAGAGAAAATGATGACACACAGGGTGTGATGTCAATTCCCTCAAAGAGCCCCCTTTTTTCACATGTCCTATGCCTTTTCTTCCGGGAGTGTCCAATTATTCCCTCTGCTGACTACATAACCTTTTAACGTAGCACCCAGGGAGAATACTATGAAGTGTCTGTCCGAAATCATATTAAAGATGGTGGCGCTCACAAGCAGTGTCAGGCCTATCTTGCACAAAGTATGTTAAATATACATTTAATGGTCTGGTGTCAAGGTCTCTGTAAACAAAACTAGTCACTATTGGGTTCATGCAAGGATATCTGTTTTCTTTTTTTTTTTTTTTTTATGTCTTATTGAAAACCAGTCTCCCTAATGGGGCCTCAGATAGTAGTAAAAACTCATTAGGAGTCCAAAACTTTACCCATTGTATCCAAAACTAGAATATAGGTCTTGGCTTGATATATGGTTCAATGGATAATGCTTGCCATTTATGGAATTTAAAGTGATTATTAAAGGCAATTTAAAAAAAAAAAAAACTTATGTTATACTTGCCTGCTTTGTGCAGTGGTTTTTGCACAGAGCTGCCCCAATCCTGCTTTTGCTGGGTGTCCCACCGGCACTCCTGGTCCCTCCCTCCTGCCAAGTGCCCCCAGGGAAAGCAGGATGCTATGGGGAGCTATCTCGCTCCCAAGCCACTGTTTGCGCCTCCATTCACACACAGAACCATGGCTCCGCCCAGCCCTCTCTCTCATTGTTTGTTTTCTGGCTGTGATTGAGCTGTCAGCCAATGAGGAGGGAGATTCCGCGGAGAGCCGAGGCTCTCGTGCCCATTGCTGGATCGTAATGGGGCTCAGGTAAGTATTGGGAGGGGGGGGGGGGGGCTAGGGGGGCTGCTGCACACAGAAGGTTCAGAATACAACCAGTTCATGTTCAGAATACAACCACTTTAAGTATATTTAGATGCAGTAAAGATCAGTTATTTATCTAGAGCTTATGTTATATGAGATTTCTGAGCACAGTAGTCTGAATATATAGTTATTATGGCTGTGTAGGTTTACACGTGAAAGATTTGTATATGCCTTCTAATGAAGCATTATTTACATTGTCTGTCTGACCCTTTAGCTAGAGTGTCAGGACGTCTGAGATCATATGAAGCCAACCTTTGCTGCCCTGTCAACTGGTTGACTTTATGCACTGTATTCTCCAACGCCTAAAGGATTACTTCACCTTTAATGACATTTACCAAAAAAAAAAAAAAAAAAATCCATATGCATTATAGCCTTAACTGTACATTAAAATGCTGTTGTCTATTATTAAAAAATGATCCTTACTTTTGAAACTGCTTCAGCTGCTTTCAAACTGTCTAGCTGTTGGATGCGTAGCCCCAGCATTTCACAAATGAGCATTCAGTTCCAAATTTAGGCTTGCTTAACTACATCTGGTGCTATCTCTCTCCTGCAAGAGACTGCACATGTATGGTTAGGAAGGCCAAGTTCTTGTTCGTTAGGTTTTGGGGCCCCAAATCTGAAATCAGTCCGTCCTGCCATCTAGGCAGGTCAGAGAGAAGAACCCACAGTAAAGCAGTTTCAAAAGTAAGAATCCGTTTTTAAAACAGGACAGCAATTAAAATGTCATTAGTGTAAACCAGTGGCTGTCATGTTGTGAGCTATAGGGGGCTCAACTGCAGCCCTTGACATCACCAAAGAATCGCATAGAAATTTCACTGTATGTAATGCTTGGGAAGACTGGCAGACTGCAGATCTAATAGAGGAAATTGTAGTGAACGAGTGTGGACATGCTACATTTTTGTACTGGAGACATGCTGCTGAAGACCATACGGAAACTGGAGCATGCTACATGAGGTTAATAGAGATCAGTATTATTACCCCAACCGGTGTTCCCACTACAGACTGCTGATGTCCGAGGACTGCATGTACCCTCGGGGCACAGTTTGCGCACCAGGGGTGTAAACTAACCCTGTAAAGCCCAGTTGTAGGTTAAGAAATTGGTAACCACAAAGTCGACGTGCTTTATGACATTACATTTTGAATACCTCACCTTTGTTTTGGCAACTCCCCCATCCCCAACAGGAAGGTCTGCCCATCAAGAGGTTAAAGCAGAAGACCACTGCACTCTGTGGAGAACAAAGGTCTCTCTAAAGAAGTATGACACACACACACTCCCTGCCTTGTCACAACCCCAGCGCTGCAATTAACAATGCAGTGTTGTGGTTGTGCCAAGGAGGGGTTGTTTGAGACTGCTGTGTATGGAGCAATCACTCAATTCTAAAAAAAAAAATAATAACTTTCACATTTTGTTTACCTCTTTCCAACAAACCTTTTTATAAAGTTACATTTATCATTTGTTTTGCAATGAACAATCACTTTAGACATCTGTAAACAGTTGGATTAAACGGACTGATTAATTGATCATCTGAAAAATTGAAGTCTGTAGGGCCAGTATAAATGTGATAACTGAAAATATCACCTGTTGCATTTGCAACCCATTTGCACTACCATTGGAACTTTCTTCACTATGGAAGGAAAACAGAAAATCTAAGAACATTTTTGTTTTTGTCAGCATTATAAACAGGTTCAAAAAGAGTACATGGATGATGATCGTGACAGGAACGTCTCGGTTACTGCAATCTCAGTTCAGGTCTTCACTGTCCCCACCCTGGTAAGCAAAACCAAGAGCCAGGTTTCTATTTTTATTACTAGCTACTAGAGACAAAGCAAGATTGTTTTGCAATAATATATCCTTATCCTTATAGCAACATATGTTTATTATCCCAATTATGTCATATTGTATATTGTCAGTCTGCTGTTCTAGTAATACATGTTTGCTGAAGACCTTTTTTTGGGCATCTTATTCAATAACAAACGTCTCTGAGCAGTTTGACTCCCACATTGCCTATGTAAATACACACCAGCATCCCATGTGAATCTTTCTGAGGTGCTTGCATGATTTTCAGTAAAATTATCAACATAGAAGCTGATTGATTGAAAATTGAACAGAAGTGTGTATTGCTTATGGCATCATCCAGACCGTTCTAGTGTATTTAAAAAACAAATCATGAGAAAGAACAGCGTGCTTGTGACGGAGAGCAGAAATATTATTTTATTTTTGTGTTGTTTTGTTGAACTCAACAGTGTGTCAAGCAGTCAGCTTGTCTGCTTAATTAAATCTAGGAGTTCCTGTGCCCTGCAGTGGGTGGGAGATGAGGTTGATCTCAGCGGGAGGCACAAACAGCACAGTATCCTGTAGCTGGATAAAGCCAGACATGTCAGCACTGGGTGCTTGAGGTTTACTTGAATTGAAGGGACAATATAATGTCCCTATGCTGGCAGGCTCAGACCTTTTCCTGAGTTTACTCCTGTGATGGACACTCAGGAGCTGAGGGCTGCCTGTCCTCCTAGAAGGAAGTTAGAAGATAAGCGGGACTGCTGAGAAAGATAAGCGGGACTGCTGAGAAAGATAAGCGGGACTGCTGAGAAAGATAAGCGGGACTGCTGAGAAAGATAGTCTAGTATGGATTGTGCTTTGCTTTCTGAACTGCTATGTGGCTTCCTGGATACTGGGACTCTCTTCCGTGCTTGCTTTTCTCCTCCCCTGCTGGTTCTTCTGCTGTTGTGCGGTGAGAGGCCTTGTGCTGAGGCTAGATCCTACATCCTCCTCTCCATCCCAGGACCCGTGGACCTCTGAGATGTCTGGCTGGCCTGCCACTGCTACTGTCCCCTTGCTCTCTCCACCACTCGCCAGAGTTCTGCCTCCTTGCTGTGTTCCAACCCCTGCCTGAGGATTTAACCTGAACTTAACCCTTGCCCACCAGGCTTCTGTCTCCTAGCTGTGTGCCAACCCCTGTGCTGAGGACTTAACCCTTCCCCACCAGAGTTCTGCCTCCTTACTGTGTGCCAATTGCCGTGCTGAGGACTTAACCCTTGCCCGCCAGAGTCCTGCCTCCCTGTTGTGGGTCCATACTATGCTACGGACTAACCCCCTTTGTCTACTGGACTTCTGCCCCCTGCTGTGTGCCCAACCTGTTTTACGGATTTAACCCCCTTTTGCCTACCAGAACGCTGTTATCCTTGCTGTGTGCCCCATTCCGTGTTACGGATTTAACCCTTTTTTTTTTCTACCAGAACTCTGCTGTACTAATTGTGTGCCCTCATTATCACTCAATAAAATTCTTGTGTGTCCCACTGCTCTCCGCGTGTGTTCTGTTCCACCCACTCCTCCGTCACAGTGCTGTAATTCCTGAAGCCAATCAGAGTTTCTTTCAAATTTAGAGCAGGCTAAACAGTTATAAGACTGTTCCTGGTTGGTTATTCTAGCACAGTGCTCTTAGTTCTTTGCTGATTAAAAAAACGTTCTGTAGGTTTAATTTATTTACTACAGATTACAAAATACAGAAGCTTCAATTAACTAAGCAGTGATGATAAAGATTGGACATAACCGGTGCATTATGAATTAGTTAATTGAACCCATTATTTTTATGGCCATGGTGTAGTGGTTGGTAACCAATTGGTGAGACTGATTTGTTGGAAAGTATCCTTCTCCTATTTGTTTATTTTCTGTTTAGACATCAACTCTGCTCTATTATTTTTTAAAGCTACACTCTGGGAAGTTTTACAATATACAATAGTAAATGTATTTTAACACAGAATGTACATAAAGAGTTGTCAACATTAAGTACAGAAGAAAATTAAAAAGAAACATTGTGCAGAATGTAAACCTTTTTACAATCACCTGGAATATCAGTAGTAGTATACGAACAATAAGGGGTGAGGGGGGATTGCCCCAGAGAGAACAAATCTCCGGAGCAATAGTAAGTTGTACATACGAGGTAGTACAAAACCGCCTCCTTGGAGGATGAAAAAAAAAAGGGGGGATGGGGGTTTATGCGGAAAGGGAGAAAGGAATATATTGGAATACCCATCCATAGGAAAACCCCAACATTCTGGGATAGGCATTTGAATTCATAGATTTAATATCCCCATAGTCAGTTGCTGAAGGTTTAATTTGTTAAAAGTGTATGGTCAAGGTCTGCCGGCATATAGTGAGGGATCCAAGGTTCTTATATTTTTGGAAATGTTGGCATTTTACCATCTGTGGCCACCATCTTCTCAAATGTCATACATGAGCTTTATATGAGGTTTAAAGTGGTTGTAAACCCTTACATATACCCAATGAAGTGGCTGGCATCAATTGATACACAAAGATGAAACAAATCCTCCAACATCAGTTGTATCTATCTGCAGTCTTCTCTTCTCTACATTCGTTCAAAGTACTAAATCTTTAAAGCTTGTCTGAGAGTTCAGAAAAAAGGGGTGGAGAGCTGAAATTACACTCTGCAGAGCTCAGTGAGGAGAGCTGATTGTAGGAAAGAGACACCTCCCTCCTCCATACAGCTCACAGGAACAGAGCTAAGGCTGTGAATCTGCTGGAGTTCCCTCCCCTGTCACCATTTTCCTATTGGTATCAGGAAAACTTGTGAGAAGTTATTCGTACTGATTCAGAGGAATGAAGCAGCAGACAGAAATTACATTTAGTGCTCTTAATTGAAACAAATAAACACTATAAAGGGCTATGCTTGGTCCATATTTCATGTCTGAGGTTTACAACCACTTGTAAATTCTTCAAAGGGGATAGTTGTTTTCTTCCAGGCACTTGTAATGACCTGTTTTGCTGCCTTATAAATAAAAGAAAACCTATGGAATTCCATCCTAGAAGAAACATTTTGGTTTACTATCTGATAAAACCTCTAATGTATGCTTCTTCAGGGGTCTATGTAGACAGTAGATATGAGTTGATGGGTACAGGACCAGAAACAATGGCTTTTAAGACCATTCCATAGGGAAAAAGCTTATATTTACATTTACCGTTTTCTTAGAAACCACAAAGGATATAAATCTTCTTTTTTTTTTTTGTGTGTGTGTGTGCTCTAAATACTTTTGCAAAATTGGGTATTCTCTTGTAGTGGTGATATCACTATGCAGAGAGCAGAACAGAAAGAAACCAGTAGGTCCTTCACTACAGGCAGCTAAAGAAATCCTATATGGCGGATTGGTGGCTGGGAGGTGGGGGCAGTGAGAAGCACTTAATAGTTTTATTACAGCAAAGTGCATAAATTGTTTCATGCTTGACTACTGCACAAATCTAGAAGAAATACACCAAAGACTCAAATATACACATATTTAGCTAATAGTTGTTTAGCTGGGATTTGAGCTTTAGGTTAAAAAAATTTTTTTTTTTTGTTTTATAATATTATGAATTCATTTTTTTCCAGATACCTTAACAACAAGATCTGTTTGCAAAATTCCTTACTCTTTTTTTTTTTTTTTTTTTTTTTTTTTCCTTTCCATGTGGGGGTTGTGGTTGTTCTTCCCACCTTTTGCTGGTTTTCTATCCTATCTATCATACTATTTAATTATAATGTAAAATAATTTTTAAAACTTCTAACAGAGTGATTTAAATGCCCTCATGTTGGCCACAGCAGATATGCAAGTACCCAAAAGCAGATATCTCGCCAATAAAGCCTACAAGAGATATAAAAAGCCTAATGGTGATTAAACCCTTTTACCATCAACACAAAACTGAAATAATTGTTTCTTTAATCATACATTACAAGACACAGGATCTTATCCTTAGATCATTGATTATGCTGCCACCTTCAGGGCATTTGGACATTGGCAACAAAAGCTGTAAAGACTGCAAAGTATAGCCAATCACACAGCATGCCTCGGTTTTTTGCTAGTGTCCCAAGGAGTGCTGATGTGTCCTCTATACAGACTGTCCCCAGGTTATGAACAAGATACGTTCAATAGGCTTGTTTTTAAGTTGAATTTGTATGCAAGTTGGAACAGGTTGTTTTTTTTTTTTTTTTTTTTGTTTTGTTTTTTTTAGGTGTAACTCTAGTCTAAAGATTGTTTGTTAGATAGCATAGGGAAGAGTTAACAGGCCATGCAGTGATGTGGGATTGCAGACAGGTCTGCTGGATAGTAGATGGCAGCATCCGGTGAGCAGTAAGATGGCTGCCTAGCATTTTCTGGGATCAACGTGATGCAACGCTGCCTCAGTTCTTAAGTATGAGTCACATGTAAGTCGGATGTTTGTAACTTGGGGACTGCTTGAATTCTGAGCAAAGTGCAAAGCATTGTGTAAGGGTGCTTAACAGGTCCATGGTACTACTGTCTAGTGTAACTGTGTCCCTAAACACTCCTTGGGGAGTATGCCCACTGAGAGGACAAAGACTTTGTGGATAGGACATGTCCCCTGGATTTTGCCTAGTGTTGCCTTTCTATGTGGTGGTGGTTGCAGGATGGCCAGACCATCACCGCGGTAAGTCAGGGCGAACCTGGGTGCATGATTTCTTTTCTGCATTCTTTAAGGGGTTAAGTCAGCTATGCCAGCTTCAACACTTTTGGTTGCAGACCGATACAGCATGGCGCAGTTTTTTGTGTGTGCGCTATGCTTCGAATTTACATTCACACTTGGAAAGCATTTTTCACTTTGCGCAAGATGAGGAAATTCCATCCCAGGCGGTACTCCATGGCACAAGTCCTGTCTTTTCTCCAATCGATCTGGATCTGCATGTGGCCTTGAGTGCCTCAAGGGGAAAATCCCATCCTTGGCAATTCTTTTGCAAAGCCCACTTTTTCACTTATTAATGGAGGTCTTCATGCTGGGGGACACTCCCTTTGCTGGCCTTGTGTGTTTCACTATGAAAACATGGAAGTACAACCTGGTTCAGTCGGTACTCAGGCAACCGTTCTTGATCCATTGGGTTTCTTCCCCTTTCTACTTTCATTCACTAGTTTGCCTTTCGCATCGCCGTCACCTCTGTGAGGTGAATTTCTGCATTGGCAACCTCAGCCTGTTCAGAACCTTTGTGTATTACACAAGATAAGGTCTTTTTGGATGAGGTACATACTGTTTTATGTTTATCAGATGCAATGTCTTTTGCACAAACTGACCATTTTTAGTCATTTTTTAGGGTCGTGGGGTGGGGGAACCTACCTCATGTTCCTCCCAGTGGTTCCCCGTCTGTGCATAATCCCAGTACTATAGACTTAGGTTAAGGTTCTACCTTTTTCTTCTTTACATATCCCTCTAGTTCAGTTGATGCTTTCTGGGCTTTTCAGAATCCTTTCAGCATCCTTCTCAGATTTGAGTTCTTTGTATTTTTTTGTATTTTTTTTTTTTTCTGTTTTTAACATAGGCCTGTTACTGGTGTTTGCTGTGTTCGACACCCATGTTCACAGTCCATTCATTCCGTACGGGCAAGCAGATATACCCGACAGATCTGCAGGAGACCTGCATGGCACCAGCGATCTGCTGATCGCTGGTGCAATGCTTTACAGGCTCCTGCAGTTAAAAATAATAAATGCCCATTTTTTTTTTTTTACCTGCAAACAAAATGGTCATGTATTATTTTTTGCTAAAAGGTGAACTTATCCTTTTTAAGACTCTGATCCTGTGTCCGGTGATATACTCCAAGAGAAGGATTTTACAGGTTAGTCAAAATCTTATTTTTTAGGTGGCATCACCTTTTAATTTTGTAACTATTGCCTTAGCTGGTTTTGGTGTAACCATTGAGAATAGCTTATATGTAATTCTAACCATAAAAAGGAAGACGTTGTTTTTCAGGTAAATGTAAAAGGTTTTTTGTAGCATATTTTTTATGTTATGTTATAAGGTGCCTCAGTTTGAAATGCATTCTCTTATACAGGCTCGGCTGCTCATTGAAGAACAGAGTGTAATCACAGTTATTACAGAGGCCATGATGGAAGTTCTGCCCAAATATCTAGATACAAATGGCAAGTTTAACTTTCAGGGCTACAGTCAGGACAGATTCTGCAGAGTATATGCAATTATCTGCGACCTCAAGTAAGTGGACATACTAGGTGCTTGTCATTTTGCTTTTGAGATTATGTGATTTATGTCATTTTCTTATAGCTTTTTTCAATGACGACTGCATTTAGATGTGCTTCTACTAATGCAAGATTACTCCTTTTATGACTATTCAGCAAATAGTTTTCATTCGAGGCAAGTTCCACAGCATTCCACAATACAAACATATCCATCTAGAGACGTTTGTTGAAACACTTTCTTATAACTGAAAGTACAATGTTTTTCCTTTAGTTCTGTTCTAAATTGCTTTGCTGTGAACTACAACGCAAATTTGAACAGCTTTTCTCTAATCTCATTATATAATGCCATGCTGTATATATTTGATTGGAATCTCACATTTTGCCTTCTTAGATACTTCACATTACGAGGCAATTGAGTCTTAATTGTTGTGTGTTTTTTTTTTTTTTGTTTTTCTTTATTATTATTATAAGTGGTCACATAGTTGCCCATGAAAATAGCAAACACCACAAAAATGTTCTGGTTTTGACGAAAATGTTTACTCCAAATAAAATTCAATAGTTCTGGTCAGGTTTGCTGTCTGATTTTACCAAACTTACTGTTCTCAGATGATGAATATATGATATCAATGGATACTTTAGGGCATCCTTTGTTAACTGGGGTGCCGCTTGGCTTTGTTAGGAGTGTTAACACACTGGTTGTAGAATCCACAATGCCATTGATTGCTAGGATGCAACTGCAATGTTTTGTTTACTTTGTGGGAATTTGTACTTGTTCATGCAGCAGGAGAGCTGGATATATTTTGTCCTCTTATTTTAAAATGTACATATTTTTATTCAGTTTAAGGGGAGAGCCTCCTAATGGGAGTGAAATTACAGATTGTTGGGTACCATTGAAACTAGAGCATAACATTGGGTTTATATGAACAGAATAAAGAGACATGCAATCTCTCAACATAACAAGTATCATACGGTTACCATAAAAAAATACCACCCTTAAAAAAGCATAACAGTTAGGAAGTTTGTACACAGCAAGGTAGAACAGTCAACTTTACAATCATCTGTTTTAACTGAAAATTGGTGTAACGTTCAAGATAAAATCAACGTAACATACCGTATTTTTCGCTCCATAAGGCGCACCTGACCATAAGACGCACCTAGGTTTTAGAGGAGGAAAACAAGAAAAAAAAAATTCTGAACCGATGGACTGCAGACATAGTACAGGAAATGACCAGAGACTGCAGACGCAGTACAGGAAATGACCAGAGACTGCAGACGCAGTACAGGAGATGACCAGAGACTGCGGACGCAGTACAGGAGATGACCAGAGACTGCGGACGCAGTACAGGAGATGACCAGAGACTGCGGACGCAGTACAGGAGATGACCAGAGACTGCGGACGCAGTACAGGAGATGACCAGAGACTGCGGACGCAGTACAGGAGATGACCAGAGACTGCGGACGCAGTACAGGAGATGACCAGAGACTGCGGACGCAGTACAGGAGATGACCAGAGACTGCGGACGCAGTACAGGAGATGACCAGAGACTGCGGACGCAGTACAGGAGATGACCAGAGACTGCGGACACAGTACAGGGGATGACCAGAGACTGCAGACACAGTACAGGGGATGACCAGAGACTGCGGACACAGTACAGGGGATGACCAGACGCGGTGGTGGGAATACCAGACCGGTCGCTCCATATTCGCTCCCTAAGACGCACTGACATTTTCCCCCCTTTTTTTGGGGGAAAAAAGTGCGTCTTATGGAGCGAAAAATACGGTATGTTGTTGCATATGTAAGAAGGGAAAAAAAAAGATTAGAAAAATAGACAAAGGTGAGTAGCATAAGGGGGGGAAGGAGGATAATCGTAATAAAGAAGGTGCTTTCTGAGGTCTCGCTAGTCCAGGGGTGTCCAAACTTTTTTCAAAGAGGGCCAGATTGGACCAAGTGAACATGGTGGAGGGCCGAACATTTTTTCCGAACATTCTTTGAACCATTACAATTAAATGCAAATAAATTATTTTATGCCAAGTTAATTGCAAACAACATACTTTTCATTTCATAACATTAAGATCAACTGACAGCTGAGTTTTCACAATGTATTGAAAATAAATTTTAAAAAAACTTACCTGCACTAATGTGAAGGGTGAAAAAGGTAGCTGGAGCTGAAGTCTCTGCTCGGCAGCCGGGAGGGGAAGAGAAACACACTTCACGCTGGAAGCCCGGCCCTGACGTCACCGCCCTCTGTCGCTCCCAGCGCGGCGCAGTCACACATGCGCACTGCTCTCAAGCAGAAGACTGTCTGCCACAGAAGGGAGGGCCGTGCGACAGCCACGTTTACACAGACCAGGGAGAACGCGCCGCAGTCAGGCATGCGCACTGCTCTCAAGCAGAAGACTGTTTGCCATAGAAGGGAGGGCCGTGGGAGGGCCACATTACACAGAGCAGGGAGGGCTGTTGGAAGGCCGTATTAAACCGACCCCCGGGCCGTAAATGGCCCGTGGGCCGGACTTTGGACATGCCTGCGCTAGTCCATTGATTATGAATCCAGGGGGCCCACATTTTGTCGACTTGGTTTGATTATTTTGAAGAGTGGATGTGAGTTCATTCGTTAACCACTTTCGGGCCACCTGACCCTGGATTTCTCAGAAAAGAGTACCTGTCACTGTCTATTGCTATCACAGGAGATCTTTACATTCCCTGTAATAACAATAAAAGTGATTGAGAAAAAAAAATGATAGGGACAGTGTAAAAATAATTACAGAAAAAAGTAACAAAAAAAAAGCAAGCGCAAGTGGCGGTATGTAAACAGATTGCACCATGCATGTGAGGAATCACTGTCACATCGAGGGCAGTAATTCTAACACTAACCCTCCTGTGTAAATCTAAAGTGGTGACCTGTAAAGTATTGCAGATTTACATTATTTTGTCGCCGTTGCACAGGTGTGCTCTTTTTTTTAATGCATGTCATGTTTGGAATCCGTTTACTCGCCATAACATAATCTCTTTTATATTTTATCAAACAATTGGGCAATATATTGTATTATTTGTGCATTACAATTTTAACCATTTCAATACCGTGCAATTTTACACCTTCCTGCCCAGGCCAATTTTCAGGTTTCAGCACTCTCACACTTTGAATGACAATTGCGCAGTCATACAACATTGTACCCAAACTAAAATTTTATCATTTTCTTCACACAACTAGAGCTTTCTTTTGGTGGTATTTAATCACCGCTGGGGTTTTTATTTTTTGCTAAATTAACAAAAAAATTCCAAAAATTTTGAAAAAAAAAAAACCACATTTTTCTTTGTTTCTGTTATAAAAGTTTACAAATAAATAATTGTTTCTTCATAAATTTAGGCCGAGATGTATTCTGCTACGTCTTTGGTGAAAATAACCCAAATTAGAATGTATTTTTTAGTTTGTAGGAAAGTTAGAGTTCACAAACTATGGTATAGATCTGAATATTGATCAATCCTGAAGTACTGACAGCCAATCTAAATTCTTGAGGTCCAAGAATGTCAGAACAGTACAGATATCCCACAAATGACCCCTTTTTGCAGAGTAGACAGTCCGACGTACTTCATAAGAGGCATGGCGAGTTTTTTGAAGTTGTATTTTTATGTCATAATTTTTCGGAAAATGAAAAAATTAAAAAAAATTATTTTCACTATTTTTTTTTTTACATACTGTCACCAGTGCAGTACAGCGTCATCATATAACTGGCATGGCGGTTAACAGGGACACTGACTGGTGACAGTATGAAAAAAATATATATATATTTTTTTTTTTTAATTTTTTTTTTTTTTTTTTATTATATTTAATTTTTTATTACATTTTTTTTTTTTTTTAAGATTTTTTTTTTCATATTTTACTATGACCAAAGTAGTACAATGTTACCATAGTAACACTGTACTACTTTGGGGAAGTGATCAGTATTTTTTTTTTTTTTTTTTTACACAATTTGCTTATAGCAAAGAATTACTTTGCTATAAGCAAGCATTTACCTGAATGAAATCGATTCATTCAGCTTTTTTTTTTTTTTTTTTTTTTTTGTGCTTAGCTGTGATTTGGTCACAGCTAATCACATGACATGTGCATGTGATTAGCTGTGACCATTCACAGCTAGGCACTAGTATACAATGGATGGCATCATGAATGAAGCCATCCATTGTATACAACTGTCATGTGACCTGCTGTGATTGGTACCATGGTCACATGGTACCAGCAACGGGAGCCGGTACTCGGATCTGTCATCGGCCGTGTCCGAGGTGCACGGCCCGTGACAGATCCCGCTGCTGCGCCGCTCTGCATTACCGCAAACAGCGCATGTGTGGGAGCACGCCAAATGACGTGCACCCGGAATGAAGAGGCACATCTGAAGCCGCCAAACGGCCATTGGCCGGGCGGCTAATGGTTAAAAAGTGTATTTTTTTCCCAAAAAATTGCATTTGAAAAATCACTGCACAAATACTATGTGACATGAAAATGTCAACACTCACCGTTTTATTGTCTAGGGCCAGTGCTTTAAAGAAATATATAATTTGTGGGAGTTCAATGTAATTTTCTAGCAAAATAATAGTGTTGGAAAAGGCTTGATGTTCAAGTGGTTAGAAAAGTGGGTGATGACTGACATAAACTTCTAATGTTGGCTCTGAAATGCCAAGATCGTAGAAGCACCCCCTCCCTCCCAAATGACCCCTTTTTGGAAAGTAGACACTCCAAGGTATTTGCTAAGAGGCATGGTGAATATTTTGCAGATGTCATTTGTTGCCATAAGTTTTTGGAAAACGAAGAAAGAAAAGGAAAATATATTTTTCTTTTTCAAATCCCTGTGACAAAAATGATATCTGCAAAATAAATACTCACAATTCCTCTTATCAAATTCCTTAGAGTGTCTACTTTCCAAAAAGGTGTCATTTGGGGGGGGGGGTTACTATCCTGGCATTTTTGGGGCCTACGAAACTGTGATAGGTAGTGAGGAAGTGATGTGAGGAAATATGCCCTTTGA